CCAGGCTCCGGAATCATCCTTCCCCGCCCTCCACAGCCCGCGGAAGTGGTTTCTTCCCGTTAATAATTAACGGGGATTAACTAACGGGGAGGTGAAGGCATCTGCAAAAAAGCGGCGTGAAGAGGCAGGGGATGCGCGGGTACAAACAGCAGCGTTACCAGTGCACACATGCAGAGTGCGGGGATAATCAGCAGCTCCAGAGTACTCATTCCTGCCCTGCCCACATCTCCACAGCCTATGGAAGTGGGTTCTTCCCGTTAACAACTAACAGGGCGGTGAGACCATCAGCAAAAGGCAGCGTTAAGAGGGGGAGATGCCATGAGGAGGGGGGTGATGTGCTGGCATCAAACTTCAGAACCTGAAGGGAGCCTACAAGAAAGATGGAGAGAGACTATTTAGGAGAGCCTTGACAGGACAAGAGGGAACGGCTTCACACTGAGAGAGTAGGTTTAGGTTAGATAATAGGAAGAAATTCTTCCCTCTGAGGGTGGTGAGGCCCTGGTACAGGTTGCCCAGAGAAACTGTGGCTGCCCCATCCCTGGAAGTGTCCAAGGCCAGGTTGGACGGGGATTGGAGCAACCTGGTGTAGTGGAAGGTATCCCAGCTCATGGCAGGGGTTGGGATGAGATGATCTTTAAGGTCGCTTCCAACTCAAACCATTCCATGATTCTATGAAAGAGCAACGTTACCAGTGTGCAAATATGGAGCATGGGGATAATCAGAGCTGATAGATGAACCATTTTACATGTTTTTTTTTATATTTATAAGGTAGAGTTCATGGTGACAGTGGAAGGAGGCAGCAGCTCTGCCAAAGCACAGTGTTTTTTGGGAGAGCACTCCCACCGCGCCATGCGCTTGGAAAGGTCCGGGCTCAGCTTGGGCAGCAGCCGTTGTGCCAGTCCCTCTGGGGTGAGACTACTCCAGAACAACAGTCCCTCCTGCTGCCTCCAGCGCTGCTTTGATCTTCTCTGCTTCCTCCTTGGAGGCGTTTGCCTTGATCTCCTGCGGAAGGGACTCCACCAGCTTCTTTGCCTGTGGGAGGGACAAAGTACGAGGCTCATAAAGTGCCTTTCACTAACCAGATTATCGGATTTAGAGCCATGAGCCTGACCTCTGCTTAAGATGACCAGGGAAACTCACTGACCAGTGCAAACCCCAAGACTTTCACTTGAACTCTGGCACATCCCACCGGAAGGTGGCTAAACCTGACCGTGGGCAGCAGTATATCCACTGGGAAACCTTTTCCAGCGATTCGCTGCTCTTAAATTCCTCCCGGCATGGGTGTGGTGCTCCCAGGTGTGCACCTCTGGCCCATGCAGGAGTGGGTGCAGGCAGAGGCCCATGCAGTGACCTACTAAGGCAGTGGCTGCCTGGCACTGGGCCAGCCCTGCTCAGTGTCTGTGTTTTGGTTCACATACTTGTGCCAGCAGGAGGGGAGGCCGGTGCAGGGTTTGGACACAGCTACATCGGGTAAAACAGAGCTTCAGCACAGATTATACTTGGAACACATTGTTTTGACATTTTAGGGGCTTTCTAAGCAAAACTACTGGTACTAAGCAGCAGTGCAATACTTAAGGCAAGCTGAAAAGCTGCTGAGCTGATTTAAGGAACTTACAACAGTGCTGCTGTAGGGAGGGAAGGGAGCCTGGGGGGACAAGCCCCTGCTGTGGTCAGACCCTCCTGCTCTTACACCCAGCACCAGTGAAGCTATTTGGCTCCTTGAAACAAACCCCAGCTGGTTCCCAGGTAAGAAGCCACAGCTCTCTGCTGTGGCTTGGTGCAGCTTTAGTGCCCACCGGACTGGCTGCCGCTGGTAAAAAGGTTTTGTCCTTTTGATTCCTGCTGGGTACAGTGACAACATATCTGTGGTGGCAGAAAATGCTTTTTTTTTTGCTGGGGTGAGCAGGCACGGCCAGTGCTCGGCAGGGCAGGAATCCCTTCACTCACCAGGACAGGGTTCAGACAGGAGCCTGTTCCAGCTTGCTCCATGAGAACAGGCAACACAACCCAGGTTATTCATTTCAGAACCCTGCTCACCAAGGCATGACTCCATTCTAAAGCAGCCCTGGTCAAGGGAAGCAGCTGTTCCTGGCGCCTGGCGGGAGGAAGAGCAAGGCCCGAGCCAAGCGGGATCCACACAGCAGCAGTCACGGGGCAGAGGCAGCACATTCCCAACCCACTCAAACCCGGGACTGGCAGTGACACAGGGTCAGTGTCTGCTGGGAGGCTCTCAATGAGCTTCCTGAACCGAGGATGCCCTCAGTCCGGTGTGTGCTGACCACACACCTGTCTCATCACGCAGTTGTTGCCGCAGGACTGACCTGTTTGGGTCCCACCAGCACTCAAAGTCCTCACTAGCCATGCTCTCCTCCAAACCATCAGGCCACAAAAGATCCCCTGCAAACCTCATTAAAACACCTCAACTGGATGGCCATAAAATTTACAACAAAAGTGCATCAACTCTACTTTGAACACAACTTCTACAGGCAGAAGCCCTGTCAGCAGCCAGTTGTTTTGTGTGTATGTTTTAACCAAAGGGCCAGGCCGGGTACATCACACTGGAGTTTGCCTGCAATAGCCGGCACCTACAAACAGCTCGTCTGACAGGTGCCACGTGCTACCCCGAGCTCATTTAGCATCAGCTCTCCAGTTAATTATCTGCTGATTGCATCCATTACAGGGTTTGTTATTTTCATGTTTGCTTCGGACCAATAATGGATGAACAGTTTTCAGAGGAATCAGGCTGACAGTCAGGTAATTATCCCTCTGGGGCAGCCAAACTTGCACCTGTGCCGCCGAGCTTCTCTTTTGGCTTTGCAACAGGAACAGGTCAGAAGATTATCTGCAAACCTTTCTGCTATTCCAGAATACAATAAGAGCAGACTCTGCAATACTCAACGCTGCAGTTGGATAAATGGAAAGTGCTACTATTAACCCCAAGATATGGTAGCATCACCCAGTGGAGAACTGCAGTGCGTTAAGTACTTTACCAGTAGCAGCTTCATCACCCAACCTGCTGAGCCCACACGCTGGCTCAAGGGCATGAGCTCAGATGCTGCCCAGGGCTGTAAGAGGCCTAGTTTCCTCCCAGAAAAGAGGAAGAAGCATCACCTACAAAAAGAAGAGCCCTGAAAAGACCTGGAAGCCTGGATTGAAAGATGTGTGAATTAGAAAAACTCATCTAAATTCAGAAACACATTGGTTTTGGGAAAGGCAAGCCAAACTGAGCTGTAGTGAGGGACTCCTGAGCTCTGCAGGAAAGCTCACAGCAGCTCTCAGGTTTGGAGAAGCTGAGATTGGCACGAAGGACTCTGAGGTCTTTGCTCTAGGTCTCCTCCTTCATCCTCCCACTTCTGCCAGGGGAAAATGCCAAAGACACAACCAAATCTTGCTCCCCACTTTGTCCATGCCTCTGCACTGAGGCTCACACAGACAGACTGTGCTCCTGCACACACGAATACAGGCTCCCTTCAGACAGAGAGCGACTGCTGGACCCAGGTGGGCCTGGGGGCGACACACCGGAGCCTGGGACAGCCCCTGCTCACCTGCACGAGGTTCACTCCTGGCACGAAGTTCTTCACCTCCTTGATCAGCTTCACCTTGTCAGCGGGTTTCAGCTCCGTCAGCCGGACGGTGAAATGTGTTTTCTCTTTCTTGAGCGGGACCTCCTCCTCCTCCTGGAAGCATCAGGAGCGCGGTGAAGCCCCGCGGCCAAGCCC